GTGACTTAGCAGTAGAGCCCCTGCCTAGAATCCCCCAGTGAGGGGCTGGGGTGTGGCTCAGTGGTAGAGCCCCTGCCTAGAATTCATGCTGGTGAGAGTAATTCTTTCCTGTGTTTTAGAGAAAGAGTATGGTTATTTTTTTTATCCCAGTCTGGATTGAGCTCATGGTCCTTTCTCAGCTTCTCAAATGTTAGTCTTACAGGAGTGAATTGCTGTGGTGCAGAGAGTTTCTGAGATTGACATGAACCGCATTCTCTCAGTCTGAGACCTTGCAGGACAAGAGGTGACAAAAGCAGATGAGGGCCATCCGGGCAGACTGGTTTAGAGAGGAGGCTCAGGACAAGGACAAAGTGAGCACAGCAAGACAACTTTATTTACATTTATTTATTTATTTATTGCAGGGTGGGGGTTCTGCAGCATCGTTCCATGGCAGTCAGAGGACAACTTACGAGTGTTGGTTCTCTCCTTCCATGTAGAAGCCAGGGACTCAAACTCGGGTCCCCAGGCTTGGATAACAGCCTTCACCTGCTCAGTCATCTGCTGGCCTCTGCTCTCCCCCTCATTTATTTTGGTACTAGGGCTCCTCCCATTGAGTACTCCTTGGCTGAGCCACACACACTCTCTTCCCTTAGTCTTGATAAGATGCCCAGGCAGGTTCTGGGCTCTCTTTGTAGCCCATCCAGGCCTTGAACATCTGATCCTCCTGCCTCAGTTCTTGAATAGCTGGGATGATGGGCCTTCACCACCAGGACCAGGTTGGGTTTGTTTTTTTTTTTTTTTTAAATATTTATTTATTTATTATGTATACAATATTCTGTCTGTGTGTATGCCTGCAGGCCAGTAGAGGGCACCATTACAGATGGTTGTGAGCTACCATGTGGTTGCCGGGAATTGAACTCAGGACCTTTGGAAGAGCAGGCAATGCTCTTAACCTCTGAGCCATCTCTCCAGCCCCCTTGTTTTGTTTTTTAAACAGATCTCACCAGCCTGGTCTACAGAGCTAGTTCCAGGACAGGCTCCAAAGCCACAGAGAAACCCTGTCTCAAAAAATACAAAAAACAGATCTCACTGTGTAAATCTGGCTGGCCTAGAACTTGCTATGTAGAGCAGATTGGCCTAGAGCTCACAGAGATCCCTCTGCCTGTCTTGTGAGTGGCAGGATTAAACAGTGTGGGCCACCACGCCACTGGGACCAGTTTTTAGGATTTGTTTTGAAGGAGGACTTTGTGGAAAAAACACAAAGGTCTAAAGGATTATGTAACTTGAGCCCCTGGCCCATTCTGGGAAAAGGGTGTCCAAGGGGCCTGGGCGGAAAGGGCCTCTGGGAATCAGTCACTCAAGAGGCTAGAAGGCAAAGGGAGGAAGGTCTTACGGTGAGTCAGTGCTGGGGCCACCCCGGGCTCCCTGTTTCTCCCATATCTGTGTCTATTCCCACGCCCCAGGGTGGCCAGGGCTGCCTGACTTAGCTTATGGTGTCCCTTCCTCTTTGTGGCTTAATGGGTCATCCAGATGGCCGTGGCAGTTCCTCCACCAAGCAGGAGGGGGAAAGGAAGGGTTCAGCTCTGATTAGCCCTCAGGCAATGTCCGTATGATGTAGAAATAGGCCTCTAAAATGGGAAGATCTCTCTCTCTCTCTCTCTCTCTCTCACACACACACACACACACACACACACACGCACACATGCAAGTGCACACACATCCACATCCCAGAGTCCCATAGAACCCTTTTCAGAGAACAGAAGAGAGGCTTGAAGAGAGGAATGGGGGTAAAAAAGCACTTAGTAAAGAGGAGTGGAGTGATGGGATTTAGAAGGCACCAATCTGAGAAGAAGATGGAGCTATCTCTGCATGGTGGTGCAGGCCAGTAATCCCAGGACTCTCCAAACCAGTGTAAGAGGATTGTAAATTTAAGGCCAGACTAAGCTATGTAGCAAAACTGTCTTCTTTTTTTGTTTTGTTTTTTGAGACAGGGTTTCTCTGTGTAGCTTTGGCTGTCCTGGAACTCACTCTGTAGACCAGGTTGACCTCAAACTCAAGAGATCCTCCTGCCTCTGACTCCTGAGTGCTGGGATTAAACAGGTGCGCCACCACTGCCTGGCAGAGACTGTCTTCTCAACAGCAGAAGACAAAACAAAATGTACTGAACACCTACTTTGTTCTATAAGCTGTTCTGAATTGAGGACTCAGCTAGAAAAGAATAATTACATATAAATTTAGAAGTTTGCTACAACCTTCTTGGGGATCCTAGACTCCCTAGTAGGCCCATCAGCAACAGGGATTAGGAGATGGCCCTGAGCCAAGAGGTGGTGGCAAGCCTTTAATCCCGGTCCTCAGGAGGCAGCCAGATCTCTGAGTTTGAGGTCAGCCTGGACCACACAGTGAGTTCTAGGACAGCCAGGGCTATACAGAGAAAGCCTGTCTCGAAAAAACAAAACCAAATCAAACCAAAACAAAAAGAGGACCCTGGGCTGGGACTCCAGGAGCCCCGTGTCATTACCCTGATTACCATGGAAGCCTGGGCCTCAGTTGGGGAGTCTGTGGAATGAGACGAGGGGGCTCTGAGAGAGGACTCAGTGGGTAAAAGTACATACCGCTCTCCCAGGGGAACCCAATTCCATTCCCAGCTCCACATCAGGTGGCTCACAAACACCTCAAATACTAGCTCCAGGGCTCCAGTGCCCTCTGCTGTCCTCTATGGGCACTGTACTCATGTGCACATTTCCCCCTCCTCGCACACACAAATACACACAATTAAAAATGAAAATGAGTGGGAAGACGTTGTCCAAAGTAGATGATGAACCTCATCCAACTGCACATTTTCAGAAGGGGTCCTGGAAGAGCTGTTCTTCATAATCTGGACATTCGTCATAATTTAGACATCTGGGTGGCACATGCTTTCCCCCTCTGATGGCTAGTCCTGCTTGTCAACTTGACTATAACTAATGAATCTAGAAACGAAGGGCACATTCGTGATCTGGATCTTGAGGCAAGAAGACACAGACCTTTAATCCGGGCCACACCTTCTTCTGGAAGCGGTTATAAGGACAATGGAAGGAGGAAGGGCTCGTCTTTCACCTGCTTGCTCCTACCTCATCAGCCCACCCATTCCTCCTTTGGGGTCCCTGCAAAGCAGCTGAGACACCCAACCTCATGGGACTGAGCAGCTACTGATTCTTGGACTTTCCATTTACGACTAGCCATTGTTGCACTCAGCCTGTAAGTCATTCCAATACATTTAAATTCCCCTTATCTACTCATTCCACAAATCCTGTGACTCTAGAGAGCCCTGGCTGGTACTCCCCCTTCTTTCTGTCCAGTAGTGGGCATCAGACATAGGGTCTTTCTTGCAAAAGCTAGACAAGCACTTTGCCAAATCCAGTTATACCCAGTCCCTCTGACGTACATCATATTTATTTTTGTACATTTTGAGTCAGGACTCACTGAGTCGCCCAGGCTGACCTAGAACATTCCATCCTCCTGCTTCAGCCTCCCGAGTGTTGCCATGACAGTGTGACACCAGGCCCAGCTGCCATTAATATAAAGCCTTGGTCCCCCGCTGCAGGAAGTTGAACAAAGACACCAAGGGAGAAGGCCGGGGTCCTCTGGCTATGTCCCCAGTGTTTCCCTCTTGCTAGCTACCACCCTTCTGCTCCTATGCCTCCTGTCCCTTCTGGTCCCCAACTACCCATCCTCAAGCCACCATCCAGGAATTTCTCTCAATTCAATCCTGACTTTGTTTATATGATTTTGCTCCCTGCTGGGTAAGGGAGGACAGTCTGGGACAAGTCCTTAAAGTTCCTTCCTCAGACAGCTCCCTGGGGACACTTACCCTCCACAGGAGGAAGCGGGGCTGCTTGAGAACCAATGGCAGCAGCCAATACTGCAGGCTGAGGAGCCGTGTGTCACACGGCTAGAACTAGAGACTAAGACTAATGCGCACAGGGCGGGGAGGGCGTCTGTGGGACTTGCACTTCCAACATCTCCATATGTCACTTCTTGTGCTTTACACTCAGGATTCACACACCAAGCTGGGGACACAGCCCACCTTGCTCAGAATCACCCAGGGACAGGTTTGAGGTGTGACTCAGCGGTAGAGTCCTTGGCTAGAATCCTCGAGTGAGGATCTAGGCCTCCTCAGTGTTGGAGCAGGTGGCCTTGCAAGGGAAATGTTCCGGGATCCATCTTCAACTATGAAAACAAAGGAAGATCAGGAGTTCCAAGGCCAGTCTCGGCTATACAGTGAGTCCGGAGTGAGGCTAGGCTACCTGAAACATAGCTTTTTTTTTTAAATTTGTTCTTATGTTCATTGGTGTTTTGCCTGCATGTATGTCTGTGTGAGGGTGTCAGAAGCCCTGGATCTGGAGTTAGACAGGTGTGGGGCTGTCACGTGGGTGCTGGGACTTGAACCTGGGTCCTCTGGAGGAGCAGTCAGTGCTCTTGACCAACTGAGTCATCTCTATAGCCTCTGAGACCCAACTTTTTAAAAAATTATTAAAAAAACGTAATTTAAAACTGATTTCCTGAGGGGTTTGAGTCACTCCTCCAACTTCAGAGGAGAGTGAGTAAAGCGGCCAGGTCTTTGTGACTACGCGGTGAGTCTCCTCGCTCCCCGGTGAGCGCCCTAACCCGCGGAGGAAGCTGTACCCGGGACTCATTAGACTTAATTGGAACTTAACGAGGTGCCTCCTATGGGCTGGGACGCCGACTCGGTACGTGACATCACGCAGGAGCGTGGTGACGTCACTACGCCGGGAATAGGGCCCCGGCCACGCTCCCACGAGCGGCCGTTAAACGGCACCGCCCTCTGACGCCTCACTTCCGCTGTGTATTTGCATATTTAACGAACGGACGTCGAGGCGTCGACGCGGTGACGTCACAGAGCGCCCCTGCAGAGAAACACCCTTTTTCTCTCCCTCCCACCCCGCACCACCACCACCACCACCACCACCCCCCCCCCGCGAGCGTGCAGACGCGCGCTCGTACGTAGGTACGAAGGCGAGTCCCTCCTTACGCAGACACGCACGGCCCACCGGCGGGCGGGAGCGGAGCGGCGAGGTCAGCGGCGCCCCGCCCAGTCAGCCAGCAAGGTTGCGCGTGCCCAGGGCGACCGCCAAGATGGTGGTGGGCGCGTTCCCCATGGCGAAGCTCTTCTACCTGGGCATCCGGCAGGTCAGCAAGCCGCTGGCCAACCGCATCAAGGAGGCCGCCCGCCGCAGCGAGTTCTTCAAGACCTACATCTGCCTGCCCCCAGCCCAGCGTGAGTCTCACCCCGCGGTCCCTAGCCCTTCCATTCTTGACCCCTCTCTCAGGTGGTTGCTCAGGGGCATGGCTTCCAGCCTTGACCAATCCCGGCGCGAACCGGCAAAACCCTAGAACCAATGGGGATGACTTCTGCTAGAGGGGCATGGTACTAGTCCAATAGCGAAGAAGGGCGTGCGGTCAGGGGCGGCACCGCGCTTGTTGTAATGCAGACCAATAGGGAAGAGGGTTTGTGGCAGTTGACGTCTACGAGAGCCAATAGGATGAAGGATGAAAGCTTTAGGGTGGGCTTACCTGTCACTAGTTAGGGGCGAGACTGAGAAGCCTACTAGGATTTCTTGCCTAGCTATTCTTGACACTTTACTCCGCAAACTCCATCCTCTTCCTAAGTTTCCCTGCTGCCCACTGGGTACTTGCATATCATTCTGGGTTTAGAGCACGGTACTTATGGCTTAGTTTTTCTCTGGACCTGAGTTAGGGGCGTGATGGTGATAGTGGTGGAATCTGGGGTCCTGGGGAGCCCTGCGACCTGGCAAAAGGATGAACCCAGAGTAGACATCCATCCGAGTGTTTGTAAGTTTTCTCATACCCATCCATTCGTTCGGTAGCCGCACCGTGTAGGCCGTTTGGCTGGGCACTATCATATATGGTCCCAATATGGCAGCGGTGTTACAGAACTGTCAGGGACCGTGGGCAGTCTGGAGTTCAGAGCAACCGGGTGAGCCAAGGGAGCCTCCTGAGCAGAGAGCTCACTGTCATCGCAAAACGCACCAAATAATAGCTCTGGGAAAAAGCAGAGACGAGGGGAAGGCTTTGTAACTTGCTGAACAGGGAACTACCGTTCATCCATAGCCCTGTGTAGCCTGTTTATGAAGGGCGTCTGTTTTGTGTGTGACCTGAGCTGACCCCGCTTATGGAACAACAGGGTTTACAACAGTACCTGTCTGTCAACCGAAGGAGACCCTGTGACTATCTAGAGAGAAGGAACACGAACAAAAACCAGATAGCTAAGAGGAACCTTATCTTTTTTCCTCCCGCTATGTGTTTTGCAGTTCTTGGTCCTTTTGGTGTTTGGTAAAGTTTCTGCCTGGGCTACAGACCTTACAGTGGAAATGTGTTGGATTTTGAAGCCAGCCATGGTGGTGCACACTCATATCTCAGTATTTGGGAGGTTGTGGCAGTAAGAGCCGAAGGTCAGGGCCAGCTTCAGATACCTTAGTGAGTTCAGCCTTGGCTACACAAGACCTTGTCTCACAACCACCACCACCAACAACAAAAGAAACAGCTGGTATCATATGCTTGTAATCTCAACACTTCAGAGACAGGAGAATCCGCTGCAAGTTCCGAGACATCCTCACGTACATTGCGAGTTCCAAGATTCCCAGAACATAAACCAGGGATGACAGCTTGAAGTTTACAGAAGAAAACAGCGAGGCCTCAGGGGCATGAATGATTTGCTTCTGCCACACTTTGTGGTCACACTCCATCACCGTGGAGGCTTGTGCCAGAGCCTAGATGTGGACTCTGGACTCCTGGGCTTGCTCCACTTCCTGCTTCTCTTAGCAGCACTGGGATTGGTCTTAGCTTTGTAGTTTAGAGAACAGCTTGGCCCCACCCCTCATGATAACTTTGGACAGATCACTTAATCCATCTGTGCCTCCGTTTCCAGTTCTGTCCAGGGGACATTGTGAAACAAACAGTAACTCTTGTGTCCAGTATTTCCGAGTGTGTTCTTCCAGCCAATCAGCGTCAAATCCTCAGCTGTTACAGTGCTAGTGTCACCCTTCCCACACTGTGCTTCATGCTGCACGCAACACTGCATTGCTATGAGGAGTATGGAGATATAAAGAAATCCAGGTCTCACCGTTAGTCCCAGCACTCAGGAGGCAGAGGCAGGCAGATTCTGAGTTCAAGGCCAGCCAGGGCAACACAGAGAAGCCCTGTCTCAAAACCAAAAGAGGAAAGAAGTAAAAGGAAGGAAAGAAATTCAGGTCTCAGGAATAATCCATTCTATGGGGGAAACCAGGCAACAGCCAGCATCAGGACCTAAAATCAGAAGTCTAGCTAGGCATGCGGACACATCCCTCTAATCCAGCAGTCTGGGAGGCTGAGACAGGAATGCCTTGAGTTTGAGGCCAGTGTGGGCTACATAGTGAATTCCAGCCAACCTAGTCTGTAACATAAAGCAAATAAAAATAAAGCATAGAGTCTTAGGTAGCAATAACAACAAATCAGGTTCAAGACCAGAAGTATTTGGGGAGGGCTTTGTCTGGTCATGGTGGCCTGAAGGAGAGGGAAGAGCACCTCAGCTTGAAGGCCTGCGATCTCATTGATCTGACCCAGCTGATGGAGGAAACCAGTAGCAGTGGGAAGGAGACAGCTCCTGCGGGGCTTGACCACTGAGAAGACCTGGGCTTTACACTGTGGGGCAGAGCTTCTTAGAGGTTCTGATCCTTGAGAGGGACAGGATCTGAGTGTGTATGAGTGTGTACAAGTGTTTGACATTAAGAATGGAACACACCATCTTGTGAGAGCTAGCTAAGAACTGTACCACTGAGCCACACCTCAGCCTTAAGTTATAGCTTATTATTTTTTTGACTGAGTCTTGTGTAGCCCAGGCTGACCTCAGATTTGCCATTTACTCGAGGATGACTCCAGACTTCTGAACTGTGTCCTATTGCCAAATGACAGGTTTACAGGCACATGCCACCCACACAATCTTAAGTTTTATAAACTTTTGTATTTTATTGTATGATTTCAATAATTTCATACACATGTATATTTTTTGTTCACCTACTAACCTCTCTTGCCCTACTCTCAGTGATCCCCTCTTCTTCCCAACTAATCCTCTTTCTTTCTTTCTTTTTGTTTTTTTTCCTTGAGGCAGGGTTTCTCTGTGCATCCCTGGCTATCCTGGAGCTCACTCTGTAGACTAGGCTGGCCTCGAACTCAGAGATCCACCTGCCTCTGGAGTTGTGGCATCATAGACGACTCCTTATTTTATTTTTAAAATCTGCTGAGTTGCTTGCCTGTGTGTGGGTGAGGAGTTATATTTGCCTGACCATGAGCACCTTGAAGAATATGTCTCCCTTCTTCCAGCAGCTGTTAACTGCAATAGTTCCCCAAGGCAGTCCTGGGTTATATTTTAATAGATCTTTGGTAATTACTGGCTGAGGGTAGATACAGGGAGGAGACAGCTTCCATAGTGCCGTTTGGTATCCTTTAATCTGCAATATGACTTGGCACTGAAAAAAAGTTTGCTAGCCAAGCCTGTAATGCCAGCTACTCAGGAGACTGAGGCAGGAGAATTTAAAGTTCAAGACCAGCCTGGGGACTAGAGTGAGTTCACAGCCCACACATCTTTTGAGACCCTGTTTCAAAGTAATGAGTAAAAAGGAAAGAAGTAGCTAGAGAGGCATCACAGTGGTAGACCACTTTCTAGTGCAGGAGGGGGTGGAGTCAAGCATTGAGTAGGGAGAGGTAAGAGGATGAGAGTTTCAGGAGTTCAAGGTCACCTGCAGTTAAATTGCTAGTTTAAGGCCAGCCTGGGCTACTTGAGGGTCTGGTGGCTCTGGTCACCACTATTTCTGCCCACCCTTGTTTTTCATAACATTCATATTGGGTCCCAGTGGTCCAGTATGGAGTGTTACAGTCTGGAGCCTTCCCCAGTTGAATTTGAGTCCTGTGGTTTTGGCAGGGACCCCACTGAATGAAAGAAAGAATTAAAAAGGAAAGGTCTTGACTGGTCCTCATGTGGTGGAGGAGAAAGTTGATTGTAGACGTGTGGGAGAGCACAGTTAGAGGCAGGGACATCTGGGGGAGTCCAGAGTGGACAGGACCCTGAACCATGTGAGGGGAGGGGAACCAGGTACAGCCAAGGAATGTTATAGGCACCTCAGCCATTTGTCCTAGGTTTGAAGTTCAAGATCCACAAAGTATGGTGTGTCCATATCTATCTAGGGAAGATTTGGTGTAAACAAAGACTGCTCATTCGTTTCCCAGCCACCCAGACCTGAATAATCACACAGAAACTATTGATTACAACACTGCTTGGCCTAGTAGCTCAAGCTTCTTACTAATACTTACATCTTAAATTAATTTTAATTTAATTTCTCTCTGTATATAATTTAATCTGTATATCACCACAAGGCTGTGGCTTACCAGTAAGTTCTGGTGTCTTTTTCCTTCAGCAATTACATGGCATCTCCCTGATTCTGCCTACTCTCTCTCTATATATCAGACTTCAGCCTGGCTATAGTGTGCCCTGCTATAGGCCCAAAGCAGCTTCTTTATTAACCAATTGTAATAAAATGTATTCACAGCATACAGAAGGGAAACCCACATCGATTTGGGACACAAATGTGGTTATTCGCATGTATGGACAAGTTCTTGGCGTTTGTCTGTCCCTCACCTGGTGAGGTGTCTTGAGTCCTATGGTTATCAACCTTGAAAAGAACCCTTTCTGCCCGGCGGTGGTGGCGCACGCCTTTAATCCCAGCACTCGGGAGGCAGAGGCAGGCGGATCTCTGGGAGTTCGAGGCCAGTCTGTACTACAAGAGCTAGTTCCAGGACAGGCATCAAAGCTACAGAGAAACCCTATCTTGAAAAACCAAAAAAAAGAAAAGAAAAGTACCCTTTCTTTCCTCTCGGTGGTGACTGAAGGTTGAGCTGGCAGGAGTCAGGTAGGAGAGGGCAGATGGCAGATAGGCAGGGAGGACCCACCACTCCATTGATTCTGAGCTTGGAGAGCCCCCCTCTTAGGGTCCTGTTTTCTTTCATTCCATCCTTCCTATCTTCTCACTGCCAAGTGGCTGTGGCTGTGGCTCAGAATTCCCAGGCGGTTCTCCAGGTCAGGCCTCTCTTACCACTGCTGCACGCACCTGAGGTTCTTGCACTCAGCAGGGTAGGCTTGCCCCTTGTGTCGTGTTGTACATCGTTTTGTTTTAAGACAGGGTGGTAGCGCACGCCTTTAATCCCAGCACTCAGAAGCAGAGGCAG